CACACACACACACACACACACACACACACACACACACACACACACACACACACCAGTCTCTGTCCCTGCTTCCTCCTAGCGTTTGGTCTTTGATCCCAGTTTCTGACACAGAACTCTTAAATTCCTTGGGATTTTTTTGGGAGACAGGGTTGTCTTTTGTTCTAATGAGGAAGCTGGTGGCGGCACCAGGCTGAGGGCTGGTCACGAGAAAGACAAGCCACGATCAGAGACTCGAAGCTTTCAGCCCCATCCCCTGCTCCTCAGACAGGAGAGAGGGGCTGGAAAATGAATTAGCCACTGGTTATGCCCGCATGAGTGACGCCTCCATAAAAACACCCGAAGGATGGGGTTCGGGGAGCTTCTGGGTGGGTGAGCACATCCATGCGCCAGGAGGAGAGAAGCTCCCGTGCCCGGGACCCTTCGGGATGCTCGGACCCCGTTTCCTCGTGGCTGCACCTCTGGTCTCCTTTCCCTGAGGAGCTGCCGGCTCTGCTCTTTGAGCTTTGCCGAAACGATTTCATATTTTGACACTGCATTCTAGTTTATTTTCTGGGTTGTCTGACTGTGAGCTCCTTGATGGCGGGGTGCGTCTTCGCTGCCGCACCCCCAGCCCCTGGCCAGTTCTGGAACCCACCCCGGGCTTGCAAAAACTCCTCCTAATGAGCACAGGCACCCAGAGGCTGCAGGGCCAAGACTGGGCTCCTGACGCTCGGCTCTCAACGAGCCCTGCTGCCGGCAGCCTCCCCGGGGGGCTGTGGGAGGAAGCCGGCGGAAGTGCCCTGCGAGTGCCACTCCGTGCCCAGCTCTAGGACTGACCGGGACCCGCCTCCCACATTCACTCCATGATGGGGTGGGACTCAGCCCATTGCCTCCGGCTCCTCTCTTCTCCTGCCTTTTACAATCCCAGGTGGCATGTTTCTCTGGGGAGGCTAGAAGTTGGCCAACTTGTACCTCAGCAAGAGCACAGATGTCTCCGTGAACACACGACCCTGTGAAAACCTTGGCTGTTGAGCTGCATCATCAGAACTGCGGACTGACAGGCTCCAGAACCAACCCTTCCCCTGAGGCATAAACAGAGCTGCTGGAAATAGCCCCGTGGACATTAACCTTCCACGATGACCTCCACCTCCGGGCCTCCTCTGCTCTGCAGAGACGGAGCCATGCCCCGGGGAGCGATCTGCTTCCTGCTAAACATATCAGACATCTGTCAGGACCGCTGGGCTTGGCCTGGACATTTCAGCATGTCGAGGGCCCAGCATTCCTCGGGAAAGCAGCAGTTTTCTACACAAGTGCTTAATTTCTTTATTTTCATTTTCGATCTTCATCCCCAGGGATGCACGGATGTTTGGATAGAGTGTGAAATCTGTGTGTGTGTGATGTTGTTGAACTAAGTTTTATGCTTACATATACAACTGATAAATTGCACGTGGCATCTTATTTTACAGTAAATTATGCACACATCAGGTTTTGAAAAGCAAAACCCCTGAGAATTTATCTGGAGGGCTCGTAATTCAGTGGGGAACTGTTTTGAGAAATGAAGGGTCTCTTAGAAGGTTTTGTAGTATTCTTTAAGTGTAGCAGTTTGAAAGTCTGAATTTTGAAATGCTGTTTTTGTCACTGTTGTTTGTTTGGTTGTATGGTAGGGAGGCACTATCAGCTTGAAAAAGCCTATAGATTGGAGCCACGGTGTTTGCACGTGAGGACCTGGTTGCTCCCATTCGCTGTGGAGTCTTCGACAAGTCACTTTCCCTCACTGTCCCTCAAGGTTTTTATCTGCCACACGACAGCCAGAAGCCTCCAAACAGCACTGTTGAAACCCATGGACCAACCAGAAGCTGCTTAAAATACTCACTTGTCTGGTCTGGACTGTCTGCTCTATGCCAGCCGGGCCAGGCCGACTCCTCCCTGGGCTGCTGGCTCGGGCCCCGCGGTGGTCTCGGTGCCGCCTCCAGCAAAGGGGTCTTCGGCGCATCTTCTCTGGAGGGTGAGAACGCAGACTGGGGCTGCTGCGGGAAGGAAGGGGGGTGAATCATGGGGTGAGGGCACAGGGAAATGCCCTCAGCTCTGAGGCAGGCACTGTGCAGCATGGAGAAGAGGTAACGGTTGGGGGCGTTTCTCGAGTTCAGGCTTAAAAGCTTCACTTCAGTACATTAGGCCATATAACGGTAGAAATGGGTCCTGTTTCTGTTCCATTGCAAGCCGGCCAGGCCTCCTAGGAAGCATCAGAGACGCCACGGAACCAGACAGGGCCAGCTCCCACTGGGCTCCTTCTCCAGCCACCCCAGAGCCAGGGTTTCTCAGGGCCAACTCTGTGTGATACGAGTGAACGCAGCTTTTCCTCAAAGACCCCAAACCTGCGTTTCAGCAGTGCAAACAGCAAGCACAGCATAAATGCTACAATAGACAAGTGAGCCAAGCATGGTCAGTCCACAAGCCCAGAACAATCACAACATAGTCTAATCCAGCACCCGAATTAAAGAAAGGGAAATAAACTCTAACCCAAGGAGAGGTGGGAGAAATGGGGCTGCCAATGACTGACAGGAAACAGGTTTAAATGGCATCATCTATATGTTGCAAATATTATCGATAGAGAATTTAAAGCTCAAATGTTATATATGAGGAATTTCATCCAACAGAGACCAATTTTTTCCTTTGTCATTTAATGAAGGAATTAGCTTTTATTGGTGATTTTATTTTCTCTTTTTATATTGATAAATCGAGGAGGGAAAGGGCAGGGAAAGGGCAAAGCCGCTGGGGGGGGGGGCTGGGACTGTGACATGAAACCAAGGACTGATCTCTAACTCAGGCCCCCTGAGCACTTAGTCTCCACCTGCAACAGCCCTACACCCTCTCTCCCAGGGAGAAACCTGCTCATCTTGGTAACTTTCTTCCTCTCCCACCACAGGTGCGAAGAAGACAAAGGGAGGTGCTAGGAGGCCAAAGGAGAGCGCCTCTGGGGACCTGTGGGCAGGGCCCTGGGGTGGTTAGAGCTGGACTCAGGAGCCAGCTGGACCTGGGCCCCAACACCGCCTTTGCTAGAAAACCTTGGCCAAGTGACTGAATTCCTTTTCTTAAAATAATTTTTTTTATTTTCCAATTACAGTTGGCATACAATTATATTGGGTTCAGGTGCACAACACTGTGATCAGACATTTATATAACTTACGAAGTGATCACTGATAAACCTAGTACCCATCTGACGCTATACAGCTTGTTGACTCTCCACAGACTGCGAGCTCCCTGAAGGCAGGGACAGTCCTTTCGGGGTGTGGTCCTCAGTCCCACGTTAGTGACTGAATTTGTGGGACTCGGGTCTGGCCCTGAGGAGCTGGTAGCCGGTCGCCAGGTGCAGAGCTACTGCAGCCTCACAGGAGCTACTTTCTGTTTCCTGGTCTCCTTTTATATCTCCAGGCTCCTCACTGTAAATCATGGAGTCATGTTAAAAAAGGGGGGGAATAATATTTAATGTTTCATTTTGTAGTGGCTCAAATTCTATGTGAGGCATGTACATGTGTGTCTGTAGAAGGTGGCAGGGGTCCATATTTATGGGACAAAAATGCTCCCCAAAGTACAAAAGCCAAGGCCAAAAAATGAAAAGTCCCTGTTTGGTCCCAACAGGGAAGATGGGATATGTGTTCTTCCTGAGCCTTTTATAATCTATTTCAGGCAAGCCATTGTTTCACACTAGAAAACAACTATACCCCGATCATCACAAAAGGCCCCAAATAACTGTCTGCAGCAGGTCTCAGGACACCGCTGGCCCACAGTCTCCAGCCAGGGTGGAAAAGTCCCCATTCAGGCCTGGTTTCAGCACAGATTTATCGCAATGAACGCATGGAGCAGTAGATGGCACCACACCGCTTCATTCACCAGTCAGTACAACCTCTGTGGCTCCTGGGAAGTGATGGGATTGCTTGAGTAATTTATTTGCTCAAGGAAGAACCGTGGCTGGGCCCTTTGTGTCCACCCTTTCTTTCCCACCCGCAGACTCTGCTTTTCCTCCCTTCCTCTAATCCACCCTAAGGTTCACGGAAGAAGCAAGGCTGGTGATGTCAGGAAGGGCTGGCCTGAGCGACGGTGTCTGCACATCTATGCGAGGAGGGCTGGGAACCGTCGGTGGAGCCCACGAGTCCAGGAATATCGGCATGGCATGCAGGCAGAGTCTTGCCATGAAGGACTTGAGAACCCGAGCTTTCAAACAGGCCCAGACTCTCAACTCTGCAGGCACTGACTAAGGAGTGGTGGTAGGTCAATGTCGGCTCCTCTTGCTATGGGGCATCTTGGGGGGAACTTCGGCTATGCTAAGCCTCAGTTTCCTCATGTGGAGGGATCAGTGTCAGGCCCGGCACTCACTAAGCATTAGCTAAAAGGAGAGCCTTTATGAAGGTCTGTCACTGAGCCAGGCGCCTTACCCGTTCTCCCATTCGGTCTGACGGGCTGTGCAGGAGCAAGCAGAGGCGGGGCTCAAGCACTTTCTCAAGGCAGACGGGTGGCGGTCGGGGGCAGAGGCAGGGGTTGAGCGCAGGCTGTCTGCTCTTCCACGCCTTCTGGGAGCTGTGCCTGAGCCTTTGCCAAAAGCCTGGAACAAAGCCCCCCTGGCTACCACGCTCTGCCCAGGAGGACCTGCCACTGAACCCACCGGCCCTGCAGCTCTGGGTAAGACACATGTGTGATCATCAGTTACCTCAGGAATACAGGTGACGCTTGAACAACGTGGGCATTAGGGACCCTGATCCCCGTGCAATCAAAAAATCCTCGTGTAAATTTAGACTCCCTCAAACCTTAACTACTAATAGCCTAGATTTCACCAGAAGCCTTACCCATACTATACACAGTTGATTAACACATGTTTTGTATTATATGCATTATTTACTGTTTTCTTATAATAAAGTCAGCTAGAGGAAAGAAAATGTTATTAAGAAAATCATAAGAGCCCGGCTGGGCGTGGCTCAGCGATTGAGCGTCAACCTAGGAGCCAGGCGATCGGGGTTCGATTCCCGGTCAGTCAGGGCACATGCCCGGGTTGTGGGCTTGATCCCCAGTCGGGGGCATGCAAGAGGCAGCTGATCAATGACTCTCTCATCACTGATGTTTCTGTCTATCTCCCTCTCCTTTCCTCTCTCTGAAATAAATTAAAAAATATTTTAAAAAAATTATAAGAGAAAATACATTTACAGTATATGTTGAAAAAAAGAAGTTCACGTAGACGCGGACCCCGCAGTTCCAGCCGTGTTGTTAAGGGGCAGCTGCGCCTTCCTTCGCAGTCACTGCATCCCACGTGGGCAGCAGCGTGGTCTACCTGTGTCCCTGGAATGGCGTGGTGTGGCTGTGATGGCTACAATCGTCATCATGGCCGAAAGGGCAGGCTCCCCAGGGCACCACTCACAGCTTCAAAATAGTCTTCGCTGTAAGGCGCTCCCAACATCAAACAGGGACAGAATGTTTTCAGCATCGGGGTTCAGGGACAAAGGGATCGATAACAGCGGTCAGACGAGTGAACCACGGGGACACAGCTTCGCTTTGTATTCGCAGGGTCAGGCGTAGCCATTAAATTCAACCCAGTGATTATAACAATAACCAAAATTACTTCAGGTCTATACTGCAGTCGGTCAAAGGAGAGAGCAAATGTGAGGGAGGAAATCACAGAGACGGCAGGGAAAAGCGGAGGGAAACAGAAAAGGGTGGAGCAGAGACAGAGAGGGAGAGCCAGCCAGAGGCGAGGCTCAGTCATGGGCACACCCTCAGGATGCCTGGCCCCTGCCACCATCATCGTAAAATCAATAGGATCGCCGTATACGCGCCCAAAGAGATAGGCACTGGGTGAGTTATAGCCCCTGCGCCAGTGCCTTTTAGGATATTGGATCCTGAGGCTTTGAAAGGCGCATTGTGCTGACCTCCTCCCGGCAGAGAACCACACAATAACGGAGGAAATTAAAAAGAGGACCATCACGCGGAACTTCCTTTCAAGAAAACAGATGAGAAATCCTGGCTGACTGGGGATGAATTAAGTTTGGGTTTTGCAGTTAAGCCCAAGGAGCCTGCAGTGTTCGGAGACTCGGCCCAGTTACTCCTTGAGCCTTAAAGAAGAGCCCAGACCAAGGGCTTCAGAGCAGGAAAAGGGATTCAATGCCTGGCCCCACCAATCAGCACATGGGTGACCTTAGGTAAGCTATGTTAAAGCTTTAGCCTCAGTCTCCTTATCTATAAAATGGGTCCAATGATACCTGCACCCCCATCTTGTGATGGGCAAACAGAGCGCCTGCTCCTTAAGCAGCAGTTGTTCCTGTCCCCTCCCACTTGGGCCTCGTCGGCTGCTGGAGCTGTGGCCATCACGCTGCACAGCCCCTGGAGGTGGCACTCACATTGCATTCTAGGTGCATGGGGCTCCTGGAGTTGTGCAATGTGGTGGCCTTGACCAGGGTCAGTCCCCCTCAGGTCCCAATTCCTGGATGTGGTCCCAGCACAGGCTCTTTTATCACAGGGACTAGGGCCTGGTATGGGCCGGGGGCCTGGGGGAAAGCATCGGCTTAGCTCACATGGGTGGGCAGTGTGCCCAGGCCCACTGCATGGAGCGCCTGAGGAAGCCGACCCTTGTCAACTGGATGTGTCCCCGTTTCCCCCCACCTCCGGGCCCCAGGCTGGCCCTGCAATGGCACTGGCTAGAGGGGAAGGGTTAGGGGTCCTGGCCAAGGGAAGTTAGGCCTGTGACCACTGACGATCGGGCTGCCCAGAGGGGTAAACCGCCGGGGACCCAGCTGGATGCTGGGTTTGTCTTTATTCCCAGATTCAGGCTGCCCTGTGTGGGGCAGGTCCCATGAGCACAGTGTGGATGCAAAAACGCAAAGTGTTCACGTCTCCTAACTGTTACTGCTGATAGAAATATGCTGTTTCTGGGCCTCGAATCGCGGCGAGAACACACAGGAGGGCACAGGAGGGGTCTCCTTGATGAAACATCCCAGTTAGGATGAACGTTGTAGTGACAGGAACCAACCAATGATCTTGTACCTGTGGTGAGGTGCCCACCCCCTGCCAGGCCACACAATCTAGGCCAAGGTATTTATGCTGGAAGGAGCGCTTCCCCAAGGGGGTGCACCAATGTCCTTTATGGGCTGTTTTTTCTAACTACACACTCAAGGTTCTCTCTCCCACCAAAAGGGTGGGCTCATCCTGGGGAAGTGGCCGTATCTCGCAGAGAGATTCAGAAGGTACCTCAGAGTCAGCGAGGGCTTCCGCCGGGCCTTACTCTATCCCAGACTCTGGAAATAAATCATATTCTGCTCTTTGCCCAGGAGAGAAGAGATGAGTCAGCTCTGCCTACCTTGGCGTGGAAGCCAAAGGGAAGACTGCTGTGTGGGAGGCAGGCGTCTGGCAAGACAGACTTCCCGACGGGAACAGAAAACCCTGAGAGGTATTTGTTTTAGAACCAGAGCAGGAACCTTGTGCGGTGCTGCCTTCCGCCTCTAAACAGCTCTCTCAGTGAAGACAGCCCAGGGCCAGCCGCAGCTGGGTCCCAAGGGGCCTAGATGCTCTCCCGGGAACAAGGGACCAAGTGCAACGTCCCCAGGGAGGAGTCACTGCTGTCTACCTTAAGCAGCATTAGGCAGCCGTGGCCGAGGAGTGTGGATAGAGGCCTCCGCTGTCCACGCGGAAAGGGAAACCTGCACCTGTGGTCGCTGCCATGCCCGCTGCCGTGACTCACAGTGCCACAGCCCGCTGTCCCTCATCTCTAAGGACACACAGAGTGGCAGGAGTACCATTTCCAGGTTTAGCCGCACGTATGACAAGGAGGCCCGGTGAACATGTGGTGGGAACGCAGGCATTTCATAGCCAGAGCTTCCCAATGGAACAGGAGACAGCAGTGTGCAGGAGCCCTGGGTTCTAGTCCTGGCTCTTCCACTTACTGCCAGTGGCCCAGACTGGCTTGGCCTCAGTTTACTCCTCTGTAAAACGGGGACAATGCAGGATGTGCTCAAGTGGATCTAATGAAATGATGTGCACACACCTGTGCGTGTAAAGTTCATCAAAGGAAGGGCATGGGCTAGCCCTACAGATCTCCGGTAATCCTTCTATTACCGCGGTTATGACTCGAGTTTTCTATGATGACCCTGAACCTCAGTTCACGGGGTTTGCATAAGAACTCGCTGAGTCCCCACAAGGAAGGCCCAGCTCCACAGGCTCGGCCTCGGCCTCCCCCACGCTCTGCATGTCCTCTGCTGGGGCTGCTTACACAAACCACCCAGGATGTCACAGGCTGAGTGACACGATCAGGCCCAGACCCCCAGGTCACAGGAAGGCCACTGCGCTTTGTGATTCCGCCTTTGGCTTAATTTTTCCTAAACCGATCTCTATAAAAACCCACACCCGTACCCTTCAACAGTCCATTCGCGGTTTTTCTTCCTTTCTCCTCTCCCCCCCCGCCTGCCCCCAACTCTTACACACGCTTTCTCAGTCTCTCCCCCTGCCCACCGCCGCTTAGGGGCCTTTAGCTGCATGGTGGGCGCAAGAGCGAACGGCGGATGGTGAAGTGTGCTGTCCCCATTCCTCGAGGAGAGCGGGCAGGACACCTGTGTCACTGCTTGGAGACTCACCCAGAGGGAGCTGGAAATGTGGTGGCCTCCTGGGGAGGCTGGGGTCCCCTTGTCAGCCGCTTTCGCAGTGCAGCTCTGGGGCTGCGACCACTCCTCCTCCATCTGCTGCTCGCTTTTGCTCTTCTGTTTTCTTATGATCTGGGGAGGAGATGGGTGATAAAGGGGGCGAGTTACTAGAGGCCTCAGATGCTCGGTGCAGCAACTGGGACCATCCTTGAGGTTTTTCTCCCAGCCATGTAAAAGGGTCACGCATATTTCCCACATCTGGCTCCGTGCGGACTGTGTGCCTGGCCCTGGCCAACGGCGTGTGAGGAGGGAGTGGGTGACAGGGAGTCAGGGCGGAGCCTAGGCCTTAACAGACGTCACTGGCTTCCTCTTGCTCCCTTGTGCTCTGTCATGGCCATGAGCAGCTGGTGTGGCTCAGCAGGGCCCCAGAATGAACATACTGCACAGGCCTGACCCCAACCCACTGCTTTAGACGGAGCCAGTACAGGTGCGCGGGCGAGATAGAAATTGTGGTACAATAAAAAATGCATTTGCTGTTAGACTGATTCCTGGTACAGAGCTTCAAAAATCCTTGGACTATTTTGAGTGATAGGAGTGTCTTTGTTATGCTAATGAGTGACTCACGGCCAGGGCCGCTAGATAAATGGAGGCTGGTAGTTAAAAAAAAAACCCAATCAGACAGAGAAAGACAAATACCATAGGATTGCACTTACATGTGGAATCTAAAAAACAAAATAAAGGAACACATCAAACAGAAACGTATTCATAGATATAGAGAACAGATGGATGGTTGCCAGGATGGATGGGCAGGGGTGTGGGGTGTAAAAGATGATGGGATTAAAAGTGTAGATTGTTAGTTACAAATAGTCTCAGGGATGTAAAGTACAGCATAGGGAATATAGTCAGTAATATTGTAATAACTCTGTGGTGCCAGGTGGGTATTAAACTTATCGGGGTGACCACTTCATAAGTTATGTGAATGTCTAATCACTAGGTTGTACACCTGGAACTAATATAATATTGTACGTCAACTGTAATTGTAAAATTATTAAAACCCAACCACGTAAACCAAGGAACTTTAAGCTTTGCCCCAACCTCTGGGGAGGAGACGGGGGCTAAAGACTGAGTTCATTCAGGGGGGTCAGTGATTTAAGCAATTATGCCTACTTAATGAAACCTCTATTAAAAACTCTGAAACACTGAGGCTTGGGGAGGGAACTTCCTGGCTGGTCCATACATTGATGTGTGGGAGGGTGGCGGGCGTGGAGGTTCGTGCATCTGTTCCACAGACAGTGTGGTCCTACCATTTCTTCACCTGGCTGCTCATTTGTATCTTTTACAATAAAGAGGCAATTTTAAGTATAGTACTTTCCTGAGTTCTGTAAGTTGTTCTAGCAAATTATCCAACTTGAGGGGGGTCATGGGGATCCCTGAATTTACAGTAAGCTGTACAGAAGTGGGTGACTTGGGGATTCCTGAGACTTGCACCGGCATCCGAAGTGGGCGGTCTTGTGGGACTGAGCCCTTCACGTGTGGGGATCTGGGCTACCTCTGACTACTGTCAGAACGGAACTGAATTGTAGGGGTTGGAGAACTGGCTGTGAAACATAGAAATAATCCTGTTTAGAGCCACAGAGTTTAGGGGTGGTTGGTTTCTAAGTAGTCATTACTGATACACCAGGTAAGGGACAGTCTAGGGTATGTAGGTAGCAGGGGGGACTGCAAGGTTCTCCAGCAAAAGACTATCTGAGAAGTGTGAGAAGAAGACACCCACACGTGCACACACACACACACAAAGCCCAGGAAATAGGAAGCCAGTGAGTAACCTGCTCAGGGCTGACTTCCCGGTTCCCCACCCATTAGCTCAACCCCTAAAGGCAACCACACTCCATCCCTGGTCTTAGGTTTTGCAGTGCAATCCCTCTACACTAGCCTCCAGAGCACAGAAGGCAAAGTGACAAGTCACAGAGATGGTGCCCAAGACAACCGTGCCAGTGGTGGCTCTGCAGCTCGCTGGAGGCCCTGCTCCGGGCCAGGGTGGTGAACTGCCGTCGTCAGATGCCAGGGCCACCTACCTTCTGCAAGATAGTTGTGGCCAGTTCCTCCGTCAGCTCCTCCTTGTGGTCCCGCAAGTAGATGGCCTCATTTTGCTTGTCCTGCGGAGAGAGGGCAGAGAATGGCCTGGTGCTGGGCAGGTTTGGGGGACTCGGCAACCACTTTCTTGGGAGTCCTGACGGCAAATGCAGGGCAGGCTGGGCACTGCTCCAGTCAAGGATGGCTATCGTGACGTCGGTTTCCTGATAACCTGCACTTTTTCCTGGTGGCCAGGACTCCGGCCCACACCTCCCCCGAGAGGAGAAGGGATTCCCTACCAGGCTGTCCCCATAGGCTTCTGCTTTGGAAATCGCCTCCTCAATGGCCTCTTCGGCCACCCGCAGGGCAACAGCCAAAGTGTCCATCATGCTGTGTCCTAGAAAAGAAACAGAAGAGAGGCCACCTTCTTAAAGGGAATGACAAGTAAAATGATGGCTCCGCGGCAAGCAGTTGTGCTCAGCCCTTCCGCTTAGCTCTCTGGAGAGGGAGCTGAAGAGTTGGAGGCGGCTTTATCTGAAGCTAGAACTCCGTTTTTGCTCTTAACCTCTGCTCTAAGAGAACCATCATATTGGTATAAAAAAGTAGAAGCTAGTAAGTGATGCATTCTTTGTAAGACTATTTTAATAAGAATTGCACACGTGTGCTGGTTTTTATATCCCAACTCCACAGCACTCACTAGTTGGTGATCAAGTATCTAGTGGTTGGGTAGAGAATGCACTTCTCCAGCCACACCTTGAATGAACTCATCTATTCTGATGATAGATTCATACCAATGGCCACAACAGGAAGGCCCGTGGAGACCCCCCACAGCAACACATGGCTGTATCGCATGGTTACAAGGCAACTGGAGACCCTGACGGTATCTGAAGGTGCTTCTACTCCTCCAACCTCTCATTAGCTGTCGCTTCTTAAGCGGCCTTACCTTCCGACTGCCTATAAAATGTTGAATCACTGCCTGAAACACTGCCTTCGTTGTCCAGGTTGGCCTCAAAAAAGCTTCCTCCTGGGGGGGGGG